TAGTGAAATTAGTATTTGAATTTGATTAGCATGCATATTGAAAATTATCAAGATCATCATTAACATTTACAAAGTTAAACCAGTGAAGATATTCAAATATGCAAAATCAGTGACTTTCTCGTTTATATTATATTCTGACTGATATCTCACGAAATTGATCCAGCTGTAATAAATTAATGAGCATTCAGAAAGAAATATGTCTAAAAATGTTTCTTGAAATGATCAACAAAATCCCGAAAAGTATGAATAAAAAACCAGATAATAAAAATCTGGGTGATATTTATAATTTTTACTGGATATAAATCAATTTCATCGATATATCGAAATAAAAATAAATAATTGTACGCTATATAAATAATTCATTAAACCATTTTGTGATAGAAATCTTCTCCGTTAATAATGTAACTTTCAATGTATCACTTTGTACACTTATCACGAATCGGTGACAATATAATAATCTCATAAGTTTATCTCATTATCCTGATCAAGATCGCCAGGATTAAATAATTTCCTCAAACAGTCTGTGTGAGAGCAAGTAGACAACCACACTACTTGGGCATGCGTATATATTTTATATTAAAACAAATTAAAACAAATAGCAANATCAAGCCATAGGACTTGTTATCGATGTTGAACACAATCTTAAATTAGTTTCGAATTATTTTTTATTTTTCAGATTGTGTTGCTATTAAAGCGTGTTATTTTAGTTTTTTTCAAACTGTTATTTATTACAATCAGATTTGGACGTGACTGACGTGATAAAGTCTGTAGGTATTCGAAGATGAAAGCTTGATAAATTGTATAAATATAGTAAGTTTGTTTTTTAATAGTTCCTGTACACTTTGCTTTCAGAAATGTTTTTCAACTAATCAAAAAATATCAATTTCAATACATTAGTAGGTTTCCCAGAACTGAATATATTCATTATTCACTATGTTCCCTTCAAAATAGTCAATCTAAGGTATAACACACTTGTGCCAGCGTTCTGAAATTCGGTTTTCATCTCTTCAATCGTCACAAAACGCCGTCGTTTCATGGGTTTCTTCAATCTTGAGAACGAAAAATATTCGCGGGGGTCAAATCTGGTGAATACGGTGGCTGTGACATGATGACAGTGTTGTTTTTGGCCACAAATTGTACGTAGCCTGCGGAATTTGAACATTCACCTTGTTTTTTGAACATCCTACGTATACAAAGTATTTACGGCGTTCATATTAAAAATCTCCAAAATGTGGTTTCAAAAAACTAGCCTATAAAAAGAAAGAATTATATTTCTTCCACACGAGCTGAAATATTCAGAAAGGTAAATTCCTAAAGCGACATTGTAGAAATTCAATTAGCGACTGAACTCCCATGTGAACAACACATACATATAGCTAATGTGACGTGAACAATAAAAATATAAAAACACAAAAATAATTATTTGGCACAGAACATTCGTTGGCGTAATTCAAGGTATGTGTTGGTGATAAACACGAATAGAGTTATCCGTGATGTAATGCTTTCAACAGAAATAGATCATAGTTGTCCACAACAAAACAGATGATGAATTGTGCAAACCGTTTATGAATTTTGTTGAGAACATGATACCCACTGTTGGTGGCAGATATCGCGTTGTAATCGTTCCAAAGGCCAATTTTTTTCGGTAAAAATCGACATCCGACAGGGACGGACTGAGCAACACCTGTTTCATGAACAGTGTAATACAATGTTTATCAAATACGAGATGGCCACTGGAATATTTAAAAAAAGATGAGTACTTACATGAGAGATATCAATACCGCTATTTCTAGTACAGAGGGTGCTTTGATCGAAGCTTTCGCAGAAGTTATCAAGGAATTGTGGTCAGAAGATTCATCTAATAGAAAAGTGAACACAGTCTCCTTAAAAAGTCAGATTCAGAGTTTTCCCCCTCGATTCATGGGTCATGTGCATCAAGACGCCCATGAGTTCCTTCGTTATCTTTTAGAAGGTTTACATGATGACGTTAATAGAATTATTGAGAAACCTAAACCAACCTTAACGGAGAATAACGAAAAAATGAGCGACAGCGGAAAAGCACAAGAGTCATGGCTGATTCATTTGAGTACATATAACTCTAAGATTGTAGATAATTTCGTTGGTCAATTAAAATCCACGATGAAGTGCACACACTTTGGACACTCATCTATAACCTTAGATCTTTTCTGGGATTTGTCACTCCCCATACCACAAAGAACTGGCCAATTGAGTTCATCACAATGCTTGGATTTCTCCACAAGAGAGGAAACTTTGTATGGACATGAAAAACCGACGTTTTCAATTTGCAAGGATAGAAGAGAATGCACAAAGTATCTATCGATCCATAAGTTTCCCCATATATTTTAGTCATTCATTTTAAAAGATTTTCTCTAACAGAAAGAATCAGAGACAAATTAAATGTTGTATCGAATTTCCTCTAGATGGATTAGATATGAACAATTATGCAGCAGAAAATGTGACTCCTTGTCGTTATAATCTATATGCACTTTCGAATCACAGTGGGTCGAACTACAGCGGACATTATACAGCATTCTGCAGACAATCCTTATACTGGCACGTGGCACGAATACAATGATTCACACGTATCATAAATTTCACCAAAATCGCTTGTGAGTGGAGATGCAAACATCCTCTTTTATGAAATGGAGGAAACGAGTTCGCACCTTTGAGCGTGTTGAAAAGTTGTTGTTGAACTGTTGATTTTATTGTTATATTGAAGTAAATGTTATTATAATATGTTTGCAAGAAATAGCTCAAACATTGAGGGAAAACAATGAGAATGCTTTTAGATTCTCGCTCGTGCAAAATGGAATCGCCCCAAAATGGTCATATTTTCAACTTGCAGTCCAAAATCGGTCATCTCCGTTGAAGGTCTCTTATCACAAAGATATCGGCTGAGAAGGAAATATCCAATGAAATCTGTTTGAAAATCTGTTTTAAAATATGTTTTTTCGTTAACCAGCTGTCGCCCCCATACGAACGACCACTCTCAGAAGTTGAGAAACTTGTGCAAGCTAAGGACTAACGAGGTCTTAGCTTTTAACGTGTGAGTCCTAACACATGTGTGAAAAACATATGTGAAAAACATTCTCAAAGGAAACTCAAGAACATTGCAGAACATTTTGGTTGGATGGAATATCAAGTGATGATAAGGTCAGGAAATGATAATAATGATAATAACAGTAATAGTGGTTAGTGGTGAAATAGGATATAACAACCAAAAGGCGAAGTTCAAAACTGCAGTGCATTCGATAGGCCCACTTTTTCATTGTATTTCCTTTGTTTATAATTTCACCCGTCCATAAAAATCAATTTTTTTTTCCCATGGCGCGCCAGAATCATCAACCAATGACAGCTCTCCACATCGTGGGGCGAGTGATCATTGGGTTCGAAAAATTTGTGCCCCAGGCAGACGCAATGAGCCAAGAATGACAAGCTTTCTGCATTTGTCTGGTCATAATTTCTGTCTCCGCCGACTTGATCTTGAGATTCGAGAGCAGAGAGGGTATCATTCCACCAAGGACTCCAATGATCAAAACAACCCTCTCGACAGAGTGGTGTGGAGAGAGTCTGCGGAGTTCGAAGAGAAAACCACGATATTGAATCCGTTTTTCCTCTTTTTTGCGGGCGATATTCGTCTCGCCGGGAGACGCGAGATACTGGAGATACAAGGAGCAAAATGTCTAGCCCTGGGTACACCACAAAGGGTTACATATCAGTGATTTTTCTTCGCCAAGTCGCAAATTTTAGTACTTTCAAAAACGAAACACCGATTTTTTTCACCCACAAAATGACGCCAAAAAATGTTTTTTTTACTGATAGGAAATCAGCCGCCCTACGAATGAATGAATGAATTTGTAATCCATAATACTATTTTATATCAACACACTTGGTATTTCAATTATACAGTGTGCAAAAGCCAAATGGAATAAATTCATTATTTCGGTTATGGTACATATTTCAACAAAATCCCGAAACACGTCAAATTTAAATTATAATTTGACATACTTCAACGGAAAAATGCTACCCTTACCTTTAACCCCCGATTAGCTCGCACAAGTTTCAACTTATGAGGGTTGTCGTTTGTAGGGGCACTACAGCTGGTTAACGGAAAAACAGATTTTAAAAAGATTTTTTTTAAACTTTTTCCTCATGAAAATGATGTATTTTTATATGTTCTAATTTTATTGACTCTTCTTTTCAAACAATGATTGTTGCCAAAAAAAAATTAAGGTCATCACTTCTACTGTTTGCTCTTTTGATGGACGCAAAGAATTTAAATACGTCCAGAACGTTGTATTTAATATGGTTTCCGATCAAGGGAAGTTCACCTGGAGAACTTCTCATTTTTTGAAAATGAGACACAACAGAATAACGATATCAATAAGCGATCTTTTCTATAAACTTCCACTACAAGAAAGATAACCACGAAATTATCATCGCGCCCTGTACAGCACATGCGCTCTTCGAAAACAAAATACAAAACAATCCCAAGAAAACGCTGAAAACAGACGCATCGACAGTCAAAACAAATAGGAAACGTCTTCGCCGAGAAAATCTGGCGCGTCTAGCTGCACCTTCCCATATCTAAACAAACGAATAACATGCCGAGAGAGAAACGTGCACATATGCGACGGCGATTTGGTCGAGGTAAGCGGGCGATATGGTTAATTGCTGACACATTCGTGAGCCATCTCGACAAACGACACGATCCGTCCATTCGCCCGCAATAGTTTTTTGTTCTGTCAGCGCGATATAATCGTAAACCGCGCCGCCTTGATAGCGGCTATCGATTGGTCATACCCACAACTGCGCAAACATATTCAAATTCAAAATAGAAGAACAATTCTGTACCGACAGCGAGCAGGTATCCAGTCCAGAGTTCGAATTTTCACAATTGGGAACAAAGGTAAGGTTCACGAATATTTTTGAATGCCGAGTCCGAGAAATGTCAATAACAATTTCAGTCGTCAGTTCGCGCCTAGTTAAAACAAATTATAAGCTCAACAAGTGACGATGCGGTCTCCTAAGTGACAGATTCTAAACCATTCGTCATTGATGTTGACACCTGGACGCGAAATTACGAAAGATAAATCTAATCTTATCAGCGTGCTAATAAAGAATCAACGCGGTTTTTAGCGTGAAAAATCAACATATGAATCAGACGAAAGTGGGTGAAGTGACGAAATAGAACAATTGACTGAGTAGAGTTGCTTTATTGAAAAAGTCCACATCGTTGTTAGAGCCAGTTTTGTGAGTTCGTAAGGTATGTTTCGTCGAGTAGTATCTGAGTAAATAAAACTAGAGTAAATATTAGCCGTTCGCGTTTACACATATCCTTCTTTATTGATTTGTTCAAGTCGTCGAAGAATTTTTATTATCTACCGCCTCTATGATTGGAGAGTCAAGACATGTTCAATGTGATTATTTGAATCTACAATAACCTTATAAATTCAGAATATCCAATACTAACTCCTAAAATGAAAAAACCTCAGAAAATGTATCCTAGATGAGTACATTGTTTTCACAATATTCAATTGAATGTAATTGCAATTCAAAGGCTCTCCATAGAAGGATTTTTTTGACTCAATCTATCTTGGCAGTGGCAACACAACCATTTTCTGTCCCATTTTAGGAATACTGGTGTTTATTGAAATGGCCGTTTAGCTCAAGAAGCATCAAATTCTTTATAAGGAATAATAAATAAAGAATATTTTTCCCAATTGTGAAACGTTTTGGTCAGACGATAGACGTTTGTTAGGGTGATTAGTTTTTCAATTCAATTCAAATCAAATATACTTTATTGTCTGAAGAATAAATTCTTATTGACAAAGCCTTGTGCGAAATATAAATAACATATACCTGAAATCACAAAGTATCACAAAAGTAAAATCACTAAAAGTAAGTGATAACATGAACTGAAAAGAGACATGTAAAGAATAAGAAACGTTCATGATATAAGAACATGGTCAATAAAATCAAATAAATCAATTTAAACTGAATTGAATAAAATCAAATCAATGAAATACCGTAGATATTAATATTTAAGTCTCCAGTTAAAATAATTTTTGCTTTTGAAGGTAATTCAGAGAGAATAGATTCCAGTCTGTTAAGTAATTGAAAAGGATCACTAGAAAGTGATCTGTTGATTCTACTTATTGAATCAATCGCTATTTTAGGGCGATGAGTGTTCACTACGTGTCGTCTGACCCGTCCTAGGAATCCTCATTGAAAAGTAAGACCTCGTTAATCCTCAACTCTTACATGTTTCGACTTGTAAATTATGGGCAGTTGGTAAGCGAAGATTAAAACTTATGTCCGACCAAATGCTATCCGTGAGACCTTATTAATCAATCAATTTTCTTCGCCAGGTTCAGATATCTACTTTGGATACCTCAGGACGACAATAAAATGCCATTACTTCTCTAAGACACCGTAATTTTCTCTCAGTGTACTAGCCAGTAGAGTCTGTAATTGATTTTATGAAAGCTCAAGTTCAATGAACCCATTGTTATGCAGGGGTTAAACTTAGCCCCAAAGGTAACTACTACACATCACGTAATCATGCTCAACAAAGCCGTGGTTGAAAATTAACCTAATTTCTCTCACAGTCCAGTTGCAACGAAGCCGATACTAACTGAATAGTCCAAAGTTTATTCTTTTTATTTTGAGATAGGTATTGACATCTAACTAACATTATCTCAACGGCTGATATCGTAGGAGACAACCATAAAATACAGCATGCCACCTAGAAATCCCAAACAACAAAAAACTCGATTATTTCATTTCCATTAAGCAAACAATTGAACAATTGACCGAATAGTCGGTCGGTAGCCAAGCGGTTCGGCGTGGGTGCTTTGTTCATCACTCGAATTGATTGCCGTGTTGGTCGGTGGTTCAAGCCCTAGTCTGAACGATCGATCTTCACTTGCTATCGTCCAACCCGTGTTAGGAATCACACGTTAAAAGGTAAGACCTCGTTAATCTTTAGCTCGCACAAGTTTCGACTTCTGAGGGTTGTCATTCGTAGGGGTGCGACAACTGGTTAACGGAGAAAACAGATTTTAATCAGTTCAGGAATCCGATGGATAGGATGTTTCTCACTGCGAATTTTGAAAATAAGCGTATGCATATAGAGTTATCCTATATTCTTTGTATCTGTAGAGTAGGGAGGAAGAGTGTAGGCCACTTAGGCCACAATGGGTCCATTGTACATCCTCCCAAGGAGTTGTTCTCCTAGGTCATCGTCCATCCTATCCTTTCCAGTAAGGTGGACAGGTCTCTGGGAGGCATCCCCTTTATATCGGCAGGTGTAGGCCGAACACACACTCTCTTATTAACGATAATTCCGGACATTCGCATAGGACATGCCTGCCACGGAGTTTAAAATTTATAGGCCAATTATTTATACCTTTCATCCCATTATTTATGTCAACGGAGATTGGAAAAAAATTTGTTAGTTAANATGGTATAGTGCGAAAAGTTGCTGATCTGTCAAGATATCTGTTAGGTTTCTAAAGAGATAACCTAATGAGTTGATTTTACTCCTGGATAGTTCAAAATCTGACTCGAGTTATAACGGATGATACCGAGGTGAATTAATAGTAAGTGACACAACGCTACAGGATAACATTTATTTAAATTGAACGAAAAACGATGAGAGTACATTCAGAAAATAAAAACGGCACCCTGAAGGTCACCATTTTCAATGCAAAATCCACTTATACTTCCAAATAATGTCGGTAAAAAGAAATATCTTCGGTATATTCATTCAACTCATTACCTTTTAACAAAATTACTAACAATCATGTCATGGCCAAGGTCAACCTAATATTGAATGTACATAAATTTGTGACGTAGGTATTCAAACAAAAGATAACCGTCTCCTTTTCTAACAAGCTTTCAAATAATTCAGGAGACAAGCCATACCAGATTTAAAAAATTAAACATGTTTTCAAATTAAAAAAAAAAGTTTATTCCTGATGAATAATAAACCTGAAAGACGATTGGCGTCCTATTTATTGTTCAGAATAATTATACACATAAACAAATACCTACCCGAAATCGCTTCGAATAACAGGGAGTCGAATTTGTAATGAAAAAAAGGTTTTGCATCAATTGTTCAGAAGATATTCCGCCGATTATGATCAAACTTTCCATTTAATTAGATTTAAAATGGTTATTTCAGTGGCGTCATTGCCTGGAGGGATAGCTGATTGATATTTATGATTGAAAATCATTGTCTGCCTTTAGATTCTTTTCAAATTGGATATCAAGATCAGATTTTTCTCTCAAATTTTACGGTAATTACATGCAAGCTGAAAGTGAAGCTGAAACGCATTAGAGCTCAAACTGAATCAACCGAATTTTCATAATGAGTCTTTTCAATTTTTATATATTGTTCAAGAAGTTAAAGACACGTTTAAGATGAATCACTGGCACACTGTAGTGAGCTGGAAAACGTTTCGACAGATGGTGATTCCTGCAAACTTAACGCTTCAGAATTGAGTCATGAGATCTGTTGTCCGTTAATGAACAAGCTAACATGTGGATAGTCCCAAAAAGGGCTTTACAGAAACAGGCCCAGGCGAAGTTCTCTGGCTTGCAGAGACAGGCTTGTCTGGCTATCAGTGGTGCCATCAGTGCCACACCGTCAGCGGCAATGGAGATCCTTCTTGATCTACCTCCGCTCCACATTTTTCTGGAAAGAGAGACTAGATGGACTGCATATAGACTTAATGCAGAGTGCAACAGACTGTTGGTGTTGGTTGACACTGGAAGTCACAGCATTCTGGAAATGACCTCTGACTCTGACTCTGACTGTTCCCGAGAGGACTGGATCCTCCGGGCTAAGCAAATATTAGGAGCAGATAGTTGTTGGTTCACAGATGAATCAAAAACACTTTACAATTCTGGTGCAGGTGTTTTCAGTCACAGACCTGCCTAGGAACCTATGACACTGTATTTCAAACGAAAATTTACGCTATTGAATTGTGTGCGGGGAGATTGGAAGAATTCAACCTCAGTCATATTCTCGGACAGTCAAGCGGCGTTAAAAGCTCTTGGATCCTACCGAGCAACGTTTAAATTGGTGCCAAATTGCCGAAAAGGACTCTCCTGGATAGTAAGACTTAACAGATTGTTTCTGGTCTGGATTCCTGGCCATACTGGCCTAGAAGGCAATGAGGCTGCTGACTCCCTTGCAAAGGAGGGTGCTGCAAGCAGCTTCATCGGACCAGAACCTGTCATTGGCATCGCTTTAGGCGTTGCCAAACAAAGATTGAACACCTGGATGGCAAGAAGATTTATGTACTTCTGGCAGAATATTCCAGGATTTGCACCCTCGAATACGTTTATTAACCCTTCGAAGCTTGATACCAAACAGTTGTTGGACTACAGTAGGGAAGAACTACGATGTTTAACAGGCCTTTTTACATGTCATTGTCATTTGAATCATCATATGCAGAGACTCGGACTGTCGGAAGACAGTGTGTGTCGCCTCTGTTTGGAAAATGATGAAACAGTAGAGCACATACTTTGTGAATACCCCGCTAGGGACCGAATCAGGTTTTTTGAGTTCGGCAGAGCCGTACTCTCACCATCTAACCTGAAAGACTACTCACCATACAAACTAATCGGCTTCGTTAAGAAGCTGTGTTTATTTGGTCGAGTGTGAACAGGTGTGATCCACAATAAACCTTTGCGGGTTGCGGTGGAGAGTCGAATAGAACCACTCACTTTGGACCTAACCTAACCTAACTCCAAAAAGAAAGAACTTCCAGAAATTTCAAAAAAACACAAAAGTTTTGAACCAAAGAAGACCAATTCTAACCTTTTGCTTGCCAAATTTTAGAAAACAACCACGATTTTGTGGAAGTTGTTTTAGTATCATGAATAAACAGAATTGAAGAATTTTTTCAAGAAATTTCATAAAAAACGTGTTTTTTGAGATTACTTTGTTATCCTTTTATCACAACATCACTGTCTCTGTCATATCAGACAGTCATTTTATACGGTTTCTGCGTATTTGAATCGCGGAAATTGAAAGCATTAATGTGTGACTTCTAGACTAATGATGATAAAACGTAAGTTAAAAAAAAATACAGTGTTACGTCGAGAAGTTTGAGATGGAATGAAGTTATCAAAAAAAAGTTTCATTTAAAGGCTTTAGAAATCAATGCATTGGGTTTTTATGGAATATTCCCCAATATACTGGGTACCGAGTAGAAGCGTATCTAAGTCTTTTTTTAAATGGAAAATACGAGATTGTATGGGTTCAGTAGTTTAGTGTTTAAAAAATGAGGTGAATGTTCAACTTTCGCGGGTACACTCAAAAACCGCTTGAAATATTGACAGTGACATACGGTGATTGTACTCTGAATAAGAAAATTGTTTACAATTGGTACAAGTTTTTCAGAGTAGGTCGAGAAAAAGTGAATGACGACGCTCATTTTGGACATCCCAGCACGTCAACAACCGATGAAAATGTCGAAAAATTATTGAAGTTGCTGAGGATGTCGGCATTTCGGTTGGCAGTGAGGTTCGTTCTAAAATTGTCGAATTTTTACCAAAAAAACCTTCACATGAGCAACGCTCAGGAAATACGGCGATCCAGATTTGCCTAAAAAGGTCATAACTGGTGACGAATCATGGTTATAGGGTTATGATTTCGAAACCAAAGTTAATCGTCCCAATAGGAGAGCCTAAGAGAGCCAAGTTCGATCATATGTCAAGTTTTGCTCAGTTTTCTTCGAATACCGTGGCGTAGTGCCCCAGGAGTTCTTGCCACATGATCGTACAGTCAATAAGGAGTGTTATCTTGAAGTAATGCGCTAGCGAGAAGAATTACGAAGAAAACGTCCGGTATTGTGGAAAACAATTCATGGCTTTTTCATCACATAATGCACCTGCTCACTCGTAATTGCTCGTTTGTAATTTTCTGACCAAAAAACACAGTAATCATGTCTCAGCCACCGTATTCACCAGATTTGCTCCCCTGCGACTTTTTCCTGTTCCTAAGATTGAAGAGATCCATGAAACTGAATCGCTGAGAGAGCTCAAGAACACACCAAAAAGTGCATCTCATAACTGCTTCGGGGATAGGGAAAAACACTGACCACTGACTACTTTGAAGGGGACCAAATAGAAATTGATGAATAAATGAATATTTTTGGAAAAAAAATTAAAAATTCACTTTATTTTTTTAACAGACCCTTTTTACCGAGCCGTAAAGCTATGAAAAATGTAATGACAAAAAGCTGATAATTGAATATTCTCACATTCCATACTATTACTCGTAACCTTCTATAATTAAAAACTGTATTTTTTTTCAAATAAACAATATGTTTCAGATTCTCTTATCAAACCTTCCATCGAATGGAAAGCCAATATGTAGCCAATCAAGACAAGAATGATATTGCAAAACGAATATCTAGTGCCATTCTTCCTTGTTAGTCTACTTAACGCAGTTCTATCTCAAGATGTTACTGAAATCAAGAAGTACGGTTGTCGATGGTATGGAGGCTCTTCTGCTAGATTGGTTTGTGACTGTCAAGAAGGCATCGAGGTAATTTTTTTTAAGTGAAACTTTTTCAGTAATAGTCCATTGAATTGTGGCTTCTCGTTGTTGTTAAATGTTGTAGATAAATGTTTATTTTCAAATGAGTTAAATTGGGAAAGTAAATTAATCTGGTGTAAATTGATGATTTTTAAGGGTTTGTTATAAGCGAAATAGAAGAATAAAATAATATTACACAATATGAATTAAAAACTTTCCACAAGGATGTGCAGATCATGCCTCAGAAGTTTATTTCGGGTATAAACCGGAAGAAAAATCCGATTGAACGCAGTAACGTCATTCAGCACAATGTATCAAAGAGGATAAATATAAAATTTTAGTTAGTTCGAACAAAAACAATAGTCTTCAACTCCTCATCAGCACTTTCTTGGATATTTTTGAAAGATAATTCACTCGAATCCTGCAAAAACTTTACAAGTTTCTCAGTCTTCATATCGATATAATGAGTGATTTTTGCTGGTATCTTTTTGGCAACACTGTTTTTGGTAGATCGTGTCTTGTGTCATTGTCAAACTTGTTCAATTTGGTCTATAATTCAACCATGAATCGACTTACGAATGAACAACGCTTGCAAATTATTGAATTTTATTATTAAAATTCATGCTTGGTGAAGAAAGTACATCGTGCACTTCTTCCAATTTATGGGCAGTTTCGTTGGCCTACTGAGGGAGCTATTCGGAAGCTTGTAACTAAATTTCGAATCCAGTTTGCATTATTGGACATCAAACCACCAACACGCATACGTAGAGTGAGAACCGAAGAAAATATTGCGGCTGTATCCGCCAGTGTTCGTGATGACCGTGAAATGTCGATTCGCCGCTGTTCGCAGCAATTGGGCCTCTGTTACTTCACTACGTGGAAAATTTTGCGAAAGGATTTGGGTGTAAAACCTTGTAAGATACAGCTGATGCAAGAATTGAAGCCACACGTCCTCCCACAACGTCTAACATTTGGTGAATGGGTGCTGGCAAAGTTGGAGGAAGATCCACATTTTTATCGAAAAATTGTGTTCAGCGATGAGGCTCATTTCTGGTTGAATGGATACGTTAACAAGCAAAATTGCAGCATCTGGAGTGAAGACCAGCCACAAGCATTGCAAGAGCTACCGATGCATCCCTATAAAGTTACTGTTTGGTGTGGATCATCGGGCCGTAATTCTTCAAAGACGACAGTGGCCGGAACGTTACTGTGAATGGCGAGCGCTACCGTGTGATGATTGACGACTTTTTGTTGCCCAAAATGAGAGAATTGGACATGCTTGACATGGTTATCTCGCGTTTGGGGCCCGTCAATTGGCTGCCTAAATCGTCTGATTTAACGCCTTTGGATTATTTTTTGTGGGGTCATGTTAAGGCTCTTGTCTACAGGGATAAACCAGCAACGAATGACGCCAATATTGAAGCATTTATACGTGAAATACCGATCGATATGTTAGAGAGAGTGTGCCAAAATTGGACCTTGCGCGTGGGTCATCTGAAGCGGAGCCGCGGACAACATTTGCATGAAATCATCTTCAAACATTACATTATATTGATCATTCTATCGATTCCAATAAAGATTGCATCAATTTTTTTAAATTTTTGTGTTGTTTTGAAAATCAAATCCTATACCTCTTAAAAAATCAACCGTTAGAAGTAGGTTCGTTGGCAAATATATTTTACTTGAGGAAAAGGTTCCTACAACACGAAACCTAATTTTTTTCGATAACACCAGCTTATTTGAAATTGTCAAAGGTTTTTGATTCCCCTTATAAATATAAATCTTTACAGATGACCATCGGAGCCAAGTCCATCCCAGCCTTCGACACGACCGAAGTCCAAATAAGCAGATGCAAAGTACTGAGGTTCGAGGAAAACTCCGTAATGGAAATGAAAAACCTGAGAACTCTCAACCTGACCGATATAGCATCGATTGTCTTCGACACCAGAAGCCTAAACTGGTACGGCTTCAGAGAGGAAAACGCGCAGGACGAACGCTTTGACGTCACCGTACCTTCGCTAAGGATATACATATACAACAGCAACGTCTCGCTCATTTCCAGCCACGCCTTCGCCGGAAGAATCAACGAGATAGTTTTCGACGGCGCGATTATAGAAAAAATACAACCGTTCGCCTTCAGCAACCTTCTGCAAACCGAACGCATCACGATCAGGAACTCGGAGATCAAAGACATCGAGGTGCAAGCTTTCAAAAGGTTCTCGACCGAGTATTTGGATCTAGATGGCGTTACTGCGCCACTCGTGCCTAGTCGAGCTTTCGCCAACGTGACGGTTTACCAAAATATGACCTTGGAACACTGCGTGTTCGACACCGTACGTCCCGGGGGCTTCGTAATCAACGACCCCAAAGCGTTCCAGGTGACCAACTCGAACATCAGCCAGTTGAACGGGGAGGCTTTCAAAGTCTCCTCGAGAGGAACGGTGATCTTCCGCGGCAATTTCTTCGGAGAGGTTCACGACGGCGCGTTCGGAGGGATAAAGTTGAGGCGAGATTTTTCTTCGGGTGACTCACTCTTCATTTTCGACTACAACACGTTCTCGAAATTGACTAGGTACTCTTTGACCGTAGAACCCAGTGCGCGGTTCAGGAACATGTACATGAGCCAACCTTGCGAATGCGCAGACTTGGACCGCAAAATAAAAGAGAATGCTTTCTTCGGCGACATGAATTGTTTACACGAAAACCAGTACGTGGCCGTTAAGGAATTCAGAGCAGGAATGTGTTCCGTCGTTAACAATTATTACATCACTATTATTATAGTTTGTGTCGTTGCCGTGGCGCTAGTAGTCGTTCTCACCGTATTGGTATTGTACTACAAACATGTGTACAGGAGCAGGAAGTACGGCAAAGGAGAACGCGGAAAAGGCGGCAACTTGAGTTTGATCGTTCCAGACGGACGGACGTACAGAGAGACGGAGCTGCACGTCATCGTAGAAAAGACTGATCTCCTTACCACTGATTTGTAATGCACATGTTATTTGTTGTAAACTTATTGTTGATATATATGTCGGATGGAGCCTATCTAACATATATTTATAGAGCCATGATAACAGTATTAGAATGAATCGAGTCAGAGTTTGTTTTCAATGAAATTGTTCATATTTATAATCAATATTCTTGTGAAACATGTTGAAAATTTTCAATATTCAAGTGAATGTTCATTCTCCAGAAATATAAAATGGACGATAACAGCTTTTTATTGATAAAACTGTAAATAAGAATTTTAAAAACATTGGATTTTGGGAAGAGGATGTCGAGTGAATTCAAAAAAATATTAGTGGGGCGTTTTTACTTTTAGCATTTAAAGTTTCACTAACATAAATATGCATACTATCACTTACCGTATTAATACAGGAGCTGAGGATCACACACAGGAATGAAACAACAGTTTTCTTTCTAACACAACTATCAAACACAATGATCGACTAAAAGAATTTCAGAAATTCACTGTAAACTGATTATCAGTGATGTCATTTTTAAATATTTAGGAAGCCTTTCGGTATTTTTAGTATAGTGGAAAATGAAAAAATGAATAATATTAAAAAATAATCATTAAAA